CCCTGGGGAATTTCCATATAAAGATCAATATTTAAGTCGGGATTAAGGAAAGCTGTGGGTACATCTCCTTGCCGTCGGTGCCAATTAAATTGATGAGCTAACACGAGCATGATCCTACCAGTCTCCGATCTTGGAGTTGGAGCGAATGTCTCTTGGTAATCGATTCCAAACCTTTGCGTAAAGCCTTTTGCTGTACATCTGGCCTTCCATTTATCTATAGTCCCATCTCCGAGAAATTTTTTCTTGAAAACCCATTTACATTTCATTGGATGTCGTCCCTTGGGTAATTTATTGCGGTTAATAATTTTTATAGCACCTTTCTCTTTCAAAGAGGAGAATTCTTCTTGAGCTGCCTTCATCCATTGTTTAGCTTCTGGGCCTGTCATAGCTTCTTGCCATGTTTTAGGATCTGATGATGTAATTGCAGACATTCCATGATGCATACGGTAGTAGTCGTGTTTTATAACCTTTCTACCTCTTTTCGTCTGCATAGTTTCAACTTCAGGAGAGTGAGCCCTTTTGTGTCCGGCTTTTGGAGCTACTGGATCCCAACCTGTCATTATAACATCATAGGGAGTTTCCTCATTGATTATTTCGTGATTAGGTTGAGCAACTACTTTATTTTTACTCGGACCTTGATGAATATTGGAATCTGGAGAACGAGATCTTTTCTGTCCAGCGATGGGGGGTATTGGATCCCATCCAGTCATATTGAAGTCATATGCTATTTCTTCATTCTCATTTGCGAAATCATTGTAATTTTGGATTTCTTCCTGAAATTGACTCCGTTCTGTCATGTCTTGTCCTATCTGTGCTTGTTGATTGATCTCTTTCTGGTGTTGCAGATGCGGCTCTAAATTCTCTGCCAGCGTATACTCCCTCTGTTCTTCTTGACATTTCTCGCTCTGCTCCTGCGGATTAATTACTCTTTCTTGACGTGGAAAAAGCTTTGCCTGATCTTCTAGAGTTGGCTCCCTCTGTTCTTGGGGATGTATCTGTGACGGTACATACTCTTCATTGGAGGTATTATTTTTCATTTCTGAGTCTATTGATGGATCTTTTGGAGCAGTTGGAACTTGTGGTACATCATCTTCAGTCTCTGATGACTGACCAACTTCCTCTCGATAATGCTCCCTCTCGAACTGTTGATCAGTTTGGATATCTGGAGAGGTGCGAGATGAAGATTCTGATGGCTTCTCTGATCTATCAAAAAAGGATGAAGTTCCGTTACTCCAGAAGTCAGATGCTCTTTGCTGTGCAACTAGGTTAAGTCGATCTCCGAACATGACATCTTCATTGAATGTGACATGTGGAGAAAAGCTTTCTATCCATTTCCAACCTTGTATTGGAGTCCAGTGCGGGTGAAATATAATAAAGTTCTTGTTGGTATTTGCTTGAAAACCAACAAACCACCCCATCTCTGCTCTAGGAGAAAATTTACCAGGCTTTGGATCTATATATTTGTAGGCACGACATCCGAAGCGTGGCAAATTCGAGAAGTCTATCTTTTCTGGGGCTGGTTGATTTAATCCTTGAAGAAAGTCAATGAGGGGCACCATTTTTGTGCGTAGGCAGTAGAGCCGATTAACAATAAAGCACGCATGTTTAATTGCCCATGGCCAGTAACAAGATGGCATTCGAGCGTCAATAAGCAAAGACCTTGCCATTGTCAAGACGACTTTATTTGCGGCTTCTGATGCACCATTTTGTTCTGGTGTATCTGGAGCAGATATATCGGTTCTAATTCCGTGTTGCTCGCAGTATGATTTAGTACGCATGAACTCGGAGCCCCCATCTCTAAAAATTATTTTCACACGTTTATCATACTGATGCTTTTGATCTTCTATCCACTGTATTAAAAGTGATGCAATCTGGTCTTTTGAATGTGTAGTCAATGCCCATCGCATGCGAGTCTTTGCATCTGTTATGATGACCGCGTATTGTTCTCCATATACAGCGGCTGTTAGTTTTCCAATTGTATCAACAAATATTTCATCCAGGGGCTCGTTTGGTGTGAGTCTTTGATCTCTAGAGATAAATCGCTGAGCTTTACTTAGATGACATGTCTCGCAAGTGCTGAGATCACTAAAGTTTATTGATTGTAGGCCAACTGAACAATCTACTGTTTTCTTTAGGATTTTTTGACCAACATGCCCTAGACGTTCATGCCACCTCTGTGCGCCGGTAGTATTAGGTACTCTTGCTACACCTGGTGCAACAACGTTATTCTGTTCTTTTGGAGAATTATTTTCATTAAGCGGACGAACATAATAAACATCATTCTTACGAACGAGGCGAGCTATTTTAATATCTGGCTTTCCTCTTTTCTTTTGAACTAACATTTTATTTTCAGGGTCAGGGACTATATTTGCCAGTCTCTGGAGCCTCCCAGCTGACAAAATAGTACATGCTGATCTTGGAGAGTATACTGCGTTATGAAGTTCGTACCTTTTATTCCCTATACTCAGGCATGCTGTACCGTAGTGAGTCAGTGATGAGGAGCCGACTGCTTGATCAAATTTGAACGCTTTAGAGTACTTTTTCAAGTTGACAAATTTGTTTTTGTTTGGCACAAAATGATGCGAGGCACCAGTATCATATAGTATACGTTTTTCATTTGAATTTAGGATGCTGGCTACTATCGGTCTTTTATCAATTTCTTCCTCATCACTTGATTCTTCTTGAAATGCAGTCTTAGCCTTTCCATTCTTATCTTTCACCTTTCTATACCGCCGAAGTTCAGGATGTTGCTTAAAACAGTCTTTGTTAAGATGTTTATGTCTACATCTCCGACAAGGATCATCTGGGCCTGGTTCCATTCTGCTCTTATTAGAGACTGAGGCTACAACTGGATTTGGCCTTAGAGATCTCTGCACAGCTGCTACTCTAAGAGTAGACATCATATCCTCCAACCTCGCGTACTTTTTTCCGTCAGTGTACGCTCGTGTTTCTCTCCAATTGCTCAGCCACTTCACTTCCATGGTTCCTTCTACAAACATGGCGGCTGCATATCCTTTTAAGACAACAAATTCATTTTCAGTCTTTTCAGCTGATGTTTGTGGGGTTTCTATCATTAACTCAGCCGCATTGTTCACATCATGTAGGTTCTTTATGAATTCGTTGCAGTAGGATTCAGCGTTATCCCCCATTTTGGTATTATGAAGGGCTCGGAGTGCTACTGAGTATGGGGTTGTAGCAGACTGCTGGTGTGTGTTTGCTACCTCATCGAACAGCTGCTTTGCTGTACAGTGCCGATAATGTCTTGGCCGGATCTTCTCATCTAAGCGTTGCAGTATTACATTTTGTGCCTCTATCTCTCCATACTTCCATATTGCCAACTTTTCCTCATAGTCATTCACCAAGTCGTGACTCTTCTCAGTCGATGGTTTTTGGCTTTCAAAGCTTATCGGGGGAGTTGGTTTTGAAATTGGTTTTATGCCTTCGATGTTATGAAAGACATGGCCTAATACTTTGCGTCGAGCTAGCTTGGCTTGTAGGTCGTTCTCCCAACTGACGAAGGAAACGCCTGGTGCCAAGACGATCTTGTTGTCCTTGTGACCCATGGTTATTCTGTACTGTTCCTTATGTGATGAGCCCGGGCTCATAACCTATTGTAATAATGAGGTTATGAGAAGTCTAAGAATTGTCACAATGGGTGTAACAGTCAACTTGGGTTGATGTAGGATAGCACTTTAAGTCTAACGTGAAGAAGACAGATATATATTGTAGATCTGCTATATTGATGACTATTGAATATAAGAGTGGAAAAGGTTAATCATATACAGAGGTCTAGTAGCGAGTATTTATACACAAAGACAATACATACAATATACCATCAATAGCAATAACTGCCAACCATTCAGCCATTCAACAACTATGTCATTAGATATACCTGCGTCATATTATCATATAATCATGTATGGTTGAGATACTGGTGTTGTCATTGCTGTGTGCCGATGACGTATCATTGACGCAGGGTCGCTTGTCCTGTTGGTTCACTTGCCCAGTACTAGCCATTCCAAGTTGTGTGATCTATAAGTGGGTCTGATCACAACAGGTAGCGTGTCGAATAGTATTCAAGAAAAAGTTAATGATATTGTGAGCAATAGTTAATCTTGGTATGAACATAGTGATCTTCTTAGGCAAGGTGAAAGTATATATATACATAAAACAACAGTTTAGTGCATTGACTCCACTTCAACCAGTTTTACTACGCATTACCAGTGACTCAAGCCTATTCGCATGAGTCCATCCTACTTGTTCAAAGTTCAATCTGACGACTTTTGTCTTTTAGACTGGCATTCCGCACAAGATGGCAGCTTGGGTTTCATTATGTTAATCCATGAAATTTATCTGGAACCGGAGTTTATCCAGCTTTCAACAGGCGTTATTCCTCATGTGGCTAATACTATTTAATTGTTAATGTAAATTCCTATGTGCTACGCGTGTTGTCTATAATCAGGAAAACCCTTTTCTACAGTTTATTACGAGATCGACCCGTAAGGTTGGTTTTGAGTGCGCCAGCATACAGCCAGGCAATATATGCCATAGGACGCTAGTGATGGTAAAGATTGCTTTGACGAGGCTGACCGGCCTCTTCAAGCGCCTCAGAAGGGTCATAATATCTTCAGATTTAGTCCAAATGTCGATGTTAATAGAGCCCACCGCGAATAAAAATACTACCAGATCAAGGCATAGCCACTGTTGACGAGACATTTAAGCGTTGGTAACGATGGATATCGCTTAAACTTCAATTCTCCATTCTTCTGATCACAGGAGTCGCAGCCAAGCTGTCTCTTTGTATTGTGTTGATTTATCCCAAACATCCCTGGCATAGTCACAGGACGCTCCATTACGCGCAAAGATGTTGTACCGGCCCGGTAGTTAGGTAAACTATGTAGTATTTCTAGTTTACTGAACTTTTGCAGGCAGTAATCACAGGGTCAAAAACATTTAAATTTGGGAATCATACTTCTATAAATTCATCAATCCAATCCATCATGAGTACATCCGACGTCAGATTACTGACAGAACATCTCACATATCGTCCAGCAGCTCTTATCGACGACATAGTTAATAGGTTGTCCCTACCCAAGCCTTGAATCCTGAAATTAATTATCTCTAGCATCAATATTTTAGCGTTCAGGGCGACAGAAGCAGTTGAAAGAGGCCTCTTGGCTGCCCACCCAAGTGATCTTGGATTCAAGATACCTCCTCAAGATACACCTGATCAATTAGAGGAAGCTACTCAAATCGCTTCCGAAAAAGCAAAGCATGAAATCGAGAACGGGGTTCATCAGCTAGAGACCCTTCTTGAAGCCAAAATTGACAAAAACTTCGACCGACTCGAGATCTATGCACTGAGAAATATTCTGAATGTCCCGGATGATATTAGGGATTGGGTATGCCTCGACCACTACAAAAACCTAGATTTCAATGCAAGTCAAGACACGCCAAATACTCAATCAATAACTATCCAAAGGCAAAAGCTTCGCGAAACCCAAAAATTGCACGCGTGGCTGAAGGCTGAGTCGGTGCGAAACAAAGCGACTATTGCATCTCTTAACTCTCTAATTTCTGATATTCCCCCAAAGAAAGAACCAGATACCAAGACAGAAGTACCATATCCTGTATTTCAATTCCTACAAAATCGCGGGGAGTTAACAGGAGACGTTTGTCATCCGGTTAAAACTAGCGTTGCATTTGCTTCATCGCAGATTCCAGCCCTCAAAGGCATCACGGAAAACCTTCAGGCAAGACTAAAACGTTTGCAGCTTGCGAACAAAATCGAAGGGGCCAGTACCGCTAAAAATGAAGAAAAAAGCATGAAAAGGCTGAGGACAGAATTTATCGAAGAGGAGACCAAACGACACCTTGAGAGCGTTAGAGGTCTCGAATTAGGGACAATGGGAGAAGTGAAAGACGGGGAATGGCAAGGAGAAGGACGAAAGATTGGAGCCAAGGAATTAGAAGATCTTGAACAAATTGTGCGATTAATTGTGGAAAAGGATGAAGATAGCACAGAGTCTGATATAAAAATTTCATGAACAATTCAAATCTCCAGAAAATGCCAGTAAACCTTACAAGTATCATCACCTACTGCAAATAACCTCTCATTAAAGATTCAATATTGACTCAAAGCTATACCCCAGCTTTCAGCGTATTAGCAGACGGGCTAAGATGTAGATTTTGAAACCTAAATATTACCAATTAAATTTCGGAGCTAAAATATTTATACAAATCTTAAGGTAAAAAGAAGTTTGGTCACATGTCAGTAGTGTTGTATGAATCCAAAAGTGAATCACTACATCATGACCTACATTAAGTCAAGTTTCATGACACGACTAACTGAAGTCCTTGAGGCTCCGACCTGACTAGAGATGGCACTGTGAACTGGCAACCCAATGTGAGTCGCGGTGTGACGAAACCAAGCTGGTTGTAGTGTACTTTTAGAAAGATTAAACTATATGAAGAGAGAAGTATCACAACTACGGGCAATGACTATTTGTACATCCTTCTAGCTCATCCAGTACGTACTCTGTTGGTGAGAATGACATATTGCTCCGCCACTGCCCGTCGTCATCTTTGCCATCTAGCTGACTCTCTCACTTGGCAATTCTACTTCGCCGTCTCACATTCCTTCCTAGCTTTAATGTAATGTGGTCAAGTGAAACTTAGTCGCTTGATACAAGAAAATATGTAACACTCTCCCTAATACGCCCCCAAACTCCGCTTAGGTCTCCGCCTAAGCTAAACCACGGTCAAACCGTAACACGCGGTAACTTATTTATTTACTATAACCGAGATAATATATTGTTAATCTGATGAAAACTAGTCCTTGGAGCCCTCAGCGTTAAGCTTGTGTATATGTCAGCGGGCACATGCTCACAGGACTTCGGATTTCAGATATCTCTATCGTGGATATTCTTAGATGAGGGTTATTTGAATATGACTCTACTAATCTGATCAAGAGCCTCTCGGGCTCATGTGGGTTTTTACGAGCCCAAATTTATTTCTAGTATTATTGACCACTCTCAGTCTATCATCGAATTGAACATGTAGGTCCTTTCTGCCTCCAGATCAAGGATACCTGCGTGTTGGGTAGTGTATCTACTTCTCTATGTCCTTTATAACTTCCACCAATTAGTACCACTACTTAAAAAACTTCAAAAAGTCACATACTTCCAGGAGCAATTTGTAATTCAATATTTTCTATCTCCAACTAACAGATCTATGACTATTTATGGGTGTATAGCAGGCTAGGAGGACCGTGGAGACTAATGGGTGCGGGTTCTCATAACACTGACTTCGGAAATAGGCCTAAAGACATAAATACGCCTCTGGAATATTCGGAGGGACCAGACTGCCGAGCGCCAGTAGCTTTTGAGTCTCTTGAAAATTACTGTCTACTTTCCTAGCATCCTTACAGTAATTTTGGGAACGAAGCTCAATACCTGTCAGCGGTGTTCCCTACGAACCTTCAGCTCTCTTTTTTTTTTTGCATCAGATTTTAATTGCGTATGCAGCTATCTAGCTATGACACAATATCAAAGAAAAGTACAGACTAGATGATTCAACGTAAAGGAAGAGCACTCATGCCTCAGATTTCATTTGCAAGTACCACTGCAAAGTTATGGTGGCTTTTTCTTCACTCCAAGTCAACCCTCATCCGTGAATACCCACCCAGGGGAACGTCTCACAAACTCTGGATTATCCAGACATGCCTCCGTCATCTTTCAACTTTTCTCCGCGCGATATGTGATCTGAGATGTCTCCTTCCCAAGTGGAGTAGGTGCCCAGGCTACTCAAACTACACCGGAGAACACCACCAGGAGGCGGACCACAACACCTTCCATCGTTTGCTTGTTTTTGTAGTGTCAGCTGCACTCTTACAAGCGAAGTCTAGGCGCGCACAAAGCTCAATTCGTAAAACTGCTTGCCAAAATTCGGAATTTCACTCCCTTCAAGATTATATCCTTCCTTTGCATCATCTTGTAAACTTGTCCTAATCCCTCTCACGTCCATCCCAAAGAACTGTCTCCCAGATTTGTGCGCCACGCTTTGCTTCCTCCGTCGGGTTTAAATATCGGCGTGGGCGTGTATTTGGTGGTCAACTGAGACCAGAGAAGGTCGAAGAGAGGTGTGGTCATTGGGATGAGGATGTACAAGGTTGTACTTGTAGACTTGATGAGACTTAGGTAGGCGTCAAACTCGTTGGGAGCGGAAAAACGACGTGGTGGAGTAATTTTAAATTTTGCCTCGTGGGCCAACTTCTTTGATATTGCGAAATTGACTGATCTTGGCTCTGGGAGAATATTTCACTCCCAGGTTCGTGGAGGACACCGCGTACAGGTGTTCAGTCTTGCCCTCCACCTTCAGCTCTCATAGCAGAGTCTGCAGAGCCGAGATTAAGTAACACCGTCCTCGCGTTAATGAGGATTCCCAATTTCTTTCGCTCTCTAAATCATCTTGATCCCTCGGCAGAACCATCTATCACCATTGTCACAAGTCTAACCACGATCAGATCAGATGGTAGGGTCGAAGTTCTACTCATCGCCCAATCTTAGTCATAGAGAAGTCATGCGATGAGTTTCCGGAGCTTACCCAGCACCCGATATGGTGATGGTTGATTGGATCAAGCCGGCCTCGAATGTTACGAAGAAGCGATATTTAGATGGATATGTGCACCTCATGTGGCTGGGGCTGCAGGTCATTTGAGATCTTGTCCCGCGCACGTAATTTCCATTGCAACTATTTTTATTTTTTGGGTAAAAGCTTCCGTGGAAAAGGTGGCTGAATTCCACGGGTAAATACTGAGCTGAATGGCTATTTATCACGGGCAATATATCAATGATCTTCAAGCAGCATAAGAAGGTGGGAGCACTGTACAAGGTGTGGCCTGGGTCAGAGAGGAGCCTAGTGTGCTAAAGAGTCTATGACTTAAGTAGTACAATAAACATAAACATTAGCATATCGTGTAAATCTTTCAAGACCCAAAAATGAGTATGAGGACCCACGCATGGCAAAATGGTAGCCTTGCTGGGCTCAGTAAGTTGGAAGCTTATTTGCACGTCAACAGTGCTCCAGACAAATCCATCTTCAACCAACAGCGTCCTAAATTATCAGTGTCTACTCATTACAGAAAGAAATGATTAGAGCGAGATGCTTGCGAAGCCTGGTAGCCATAAAGGCATCAGTAGCCTCTAATTCTGTGGTTTCGTTGCGCAGGTACATCAGAATCCGCAGTCCGCATCATCTCTAATTTCCTCACAGGAATTTTGTCTCTGTTTACGGACCGACGCGACCAACTCTAACTTTTGATAAGACTACTCTATCGGAACAAAAGTCATCCGACATTCTGTCAGACCGTGGAGAACTCCTCGACCTCCACCCAAAGATAAGCACGCATCCAGCACTAGGTGCAACGCAGGTTCGATCAGGCCCTCGAAACACTTTTAGCCCGAGTCACTTTGTTCGAAAACGACGACACGGCTTCCTCAGTCGAGTGAAGACACAGAAGGGAAGAAAAACTTTAGCAAGACGAAGGGCCAAAAAGAGGACCACACTGAGTCATTAGCGGCTTTTAAAATCTATTGTTGAAATCTGTAGAAGTGTTAATTGTGGTCAACTAATCTTCACGCGCCATTCTTTGATCCTGAGGAACTGATTATCATTGGAGATTTTGGCTGTATATCCAGCTCTTGTCCGAAATTAGAGGATCAATTCGCTTTTGCAGCGGTCCACGACGAATATCATAGATATGGCTCCTTAGGATATGTTATAATTTTGGTGCCCCAGAAACAATCAATCCAATCTATTTGATCAGAGGGAAAGCTACTAGGCGAAATGACGTCTCCCCCCAAGTGAAGTTTATAGTCTTATAAGTCTCACGCTTAAATAAACAAGAGCTTCCTTGGAAGCCCTTTATAAATCCTTGTGTCGTCTATCAAGCTTTCTCATCAAGTTCTCGCATGTCTCGGAACACCACTCTATAAAAAGCACAACATAGGGCTCTTAAAAGAGAGTAATACTAAGAGGACCTCTATCTAATTATCGATAAGAGATAAATACAAACATGATAATTACTTGGCAAGAATTACATTCTCTGAGAAAGGCAGTGTAAATCTCGGGACTATCTCTTCTCTAGAAAACTGAAATAAGCTATTCCTGTATATTAAGGTTAATTTTGTACACTTTGTTTGAGTTGTCAGTCTTGAAAATATGATAGAGATGAACCTTTGTCTTCTCTTTTACCGACACGGAACTTATTTCTTGAGTCAGCTTTGATACCTTGTGAGTGCCAGTCTAGTACCATGTTGTATTTGTGGGCCTCTACAATCTTAAAAAGCATAAAATGGCTACAGTGATAAAGTATCACGTTTTTTTATATCTAGTTTAATGTGCTATTCGGTATCTATTCACAGAACCATGAAGAAAATAGGCCATATGAAGCAGTGAAAAGACTTTCAAGCTACAAATCTCATGTTTGCGCCACGATCTGTTGTGAATTTATTAGATATAAGATGGATTTGGTGGTGCAAGAGTTCTTTTCTCAATTCGGTTAGGGCTGAGATAATGAGATTTAGATTCGGTCAGGCTGGACATTTGGATTTGTTCTCTAGTTCTAACGATTTGTCAGTTTCGCTTATTTGGAATTCGCCATCCGATATTTCGATAATTTGATAATTTGACATGTGAATATGTAAACTTTGATAATCCGAACTTTGGTTACTCTACTCGGCTCTTTGAAATCAATTCGTTCCTTCGCACCTTCGCACTTTCGCTAATTTGTGTTCGTCGAAGCCGAAGCGACCTCTGCAGCTTAACAGCTTCTATAAGCTGCCAATAAGTAGATTCATAACACGATCGCACATCTCAGCTTCATGCCGGGGACATGATTTTGTTCCACTAATTTCAGTTTTACCGCAAATTCATCTCCTCCATGTGACGTCCCGTCCGAGAAAGCCACAGAGATAGATGGATATACCCCAGGTATTCATATTGTATTAGTGAAGATTACTAGTTGCTTTTCATCAAGGGAGGCTTACTGTTTAGCAATTGTTATTTGCTAGGGTTGTACTTTTAGCTTAGTAGTTGTAGATTAGAGGGCAGCACACCCAGGATTTTCGTTACAATTAAATCTTATGCTTTTAATATTCACCTCCGAGCCCTTCTTCAACTTGATCATCTAGGTGTTACAGTATTTAAATCTAGCGACAAAAGAGTCATCCAACATGTATAAATAGCACTGGTCATGAGTCATAGCTAAATAGCTGACTACACATTGAATGATTTAAAAATATCCCATCAACTTTGAGGTTAGTATTATTGCGCTTTGATGTAAATACAAACCACTAAATTTCCTTATTACAAAACATAGTTCACATGGCACTCTGTGTTCTAGTGGAAGTAATAAACAATTCTTTGTAATGTGCAGAATCGTTTGTTTTTTTATTTTTATTAATTTTAGGTCCTAAGCTATGCCCTATATCTCCTAGGAGTCAAGGACCGGTGCACACGGCTAGGATCATGCTTCCCACCCGCCTGACTCGGTCTCATCGCGTGACCCACTACATAACGAGGAGCTAGTTACAAGAAAGAAATTAAAACCCCACACAAACTCTCATAACAAAAATTTCAAATCCCTTACTCCTATTTGTGGTTGGAAAATGACACTTCTCGTCTCATTTTCCTACCTGTCATGCTTCGTGCTTATGATCTAGTTACTGCCGTCTCCGCTGGGAGCTGGAGATGGATCCGTATGTGGGCCCCCGAAGCAGCCGGTTTCCTGCGCAAAATTTGTAAAGTTCTCAAGGCACTTAGGCCCGAGAAGCTTGTGGACAAAGTCGTGATGTGACATTGTCCCTCGTAGTCGAAGCGCCTGTCGTACGTGCAGTCGACAGTGAATGAAATGCAGAGGTGATGTTTCCTCTCCACACGCACACTCCATTGAAGTGGCGAAGTTGTTGAATCGGCGGTGACATGCGACGAAGTTTCCGTGGCCCGCACGGGCTGAGATCAGTTCACGGAGTAGCCGCCGGGAAAGTGTCTACTCGCGTGGCTTGCATCGTCGCATGAGAAGACCCAGATTTCGATACCTAGGTGGACATACTTCTTCTCACCAGTCGTCGAGAAGCGCTTGACGTTTCCAGATCATAAGCCGACGAACGTACGCCATTGTGACGGAGCCAGGCTGGCTGTCTTTGCTTGGCAGTTTTCGGAGGCCAGAGCGTGTAGCTATATCTGCATCTTCGTTTCCCTGTATCCCGGAGTGGGCCGGTATCCACTTCACCGAGACTAGAGCCTTTTTTGATAGCGCCCTAAATTGGCGTACGTCGTCTGGGCTTGTTTTGGCAATTCCCGTCAATAGTGCCTTCACTGCAGACTGACTATCTATCAGTACGTTGATCTGCTGCCTGCCGTCTCTTCCCCCGTTCTCCCTCTCCGACAATCCCAGCGCAGCTTCCAGGGCCTTCCTCGCCCCTAGTATTTCCGCATCAAGCACTTCACCACCGTGCTTGATGCCATATCCCTTCAACAGAGTTTTTCCATCCCTATTCAAGACGAAACCCCATGCTGAGCGACCATTCCCCTCCGACGATCCATCCGGGTGGGCGCAAATATCTGATGCCGGCACACTATCAATGAACCGAGTTGCCTTCTCTTCCTCTATCCTTGAGTTGAAACTCGAAAGAAAGCTTGGTGGCGGCAAAGGCTCAGCGTCTTCTGCATCTAGGAGTTGTCGGTAAGCCCACTGTACTCGTGTCATGTGGATCTCTGGATTATTGGGTGTCCGAGAACATTTCTTGTACTTCCGTATTCCATCTTTCGGACACACGGCGGCACGACTCCGGAGCGGATGGTGGTTGTCTAGTGAGTGAAGCCAAGCCGAAAGCCGTAGTCGATTCCCTTACAGAATGATCTTTCCTGTTGGGATACCTCCTTCGCGGTGAAGAACAGGATTTGGTGTCGTTCTCATTACCGGGAGGACAGCACGCAGTCCCGTTAGGATTGCCTTATCGATCATCTCGCAGAAAATGCTAGTCCGAGGTGTGATGATTCCCCTTTTAGTCGGACGCTTAAGGCCGGGCCACCAAACATCTGCTCCAAAGGTTGCCACGGGGATAACGCACGTGTCCACTGCCCGAACCAGTGCTGCAGGAGTAGCTCCTCGATATGCTGAATTGAAGCGGCGCATTTGCTGGGCCACCTTCGGAGCTTTGCCACACCACGTCGCAACGTGATGTTTGAAGTCCAGTCGCGGGTCTGGGTGTACTACTAGCCAGCGTATTTGGTCTACTGGCTCGATAACCACGCCGTTCACACAAATGCCCACTGGCTCCTCGCGTTTGCGTCCAGGAAACTGGACTATCTCCGACTTGATGGTATCGAAGGTGACTGCGTTGGTGCTCGCCCACTCCAGAAGATGGTCCACTTCCTTCTGTACAGAAGCGGCTGACTCGGCAATGCTGCGCCCGAATCCTAGTATCCCGACGTCGTCAGCGTAGCTGAACCTCATTTCTGCATTGCCGCTTCGCATTGGCTCTGCCATGTACAAGAGGAAGAGAAGTGGCGTTATGGGCGACCCCTGCGGGACTCCACACACCAGCTCTTTCTACTCAGTTACCCCTCCAGGATATCGGACTTGCACCTTTCGTTGTGCAAGAAATGATGTCGTCCATCGGAGAATTGTGTCCGGCCACCCCTGCTCTTGCATCCTCTTCACCAAACGATTGTGAAGTACTGCATCGAACGCGCCTTGGACATCCGGAGTCGTAAATGTGGCCGCCTATCCCTGGGTACTTGCCTCTTCGATGTCGTGGAATATGCAGCTGACAAGATCGTTTGCCGATCTCTTAGGGAGCGCGCCAAATTGTTGGTATCCAACAACATCCAGCGTTACCGCGAGATGGGCCATCCGATTCGCCAAGAGTCCTTCCAGTCCCCTACCCAAGCATGACAAAGGGGCAATCGGTCTCCAGCCCTTAACCGTCGTTGGATCTCGGTTCGACTTGCGTAGGAGCACCACTTCAGCCAGCTTGAAGCAGGATGGGTGGGTGCCAAGTCTGATGCAGGAGCGGAAGAGAGTGCCAACAAATGGTCCAATCGTCTTCCAGCAGGTTTGTAGAAGCTCCACAGAGATCCCGTCCGCTCCAGGCGCTGTGTTAGCATAGCCTATGGTGCACATGCGTATCTCCTCGTCCGAGACATGGTCGTTCCAGGCGATTCGGTTGTTATTCGGCGCATCGAGTGGCGATAGATCGTCCGTCGCTTGGTGTTGTGCCAAAAGAGCATCCCGGAGTACCGCTGCTCGCTCAGCCGGATCGGCGTACATCTCCCCTTCGTGGTTCAGCGGAGGGGGGGGCACTTGCCTGCCTTGGCTCGGCCGAGCGCATTAGCTTGAACACGGCAGTCGGTGTTGTGATCGCTTCGACTTGACGCGTCTGGTGCTCTTTCTTTGCCGCTCTAAGGGTGGAACGCAGCTACTTCGCATGCACCCATCGTTGCTCTGGAGTCACTGCTGCACAATATTCTGTGCGAGCCAGCTTGCATTCCGGAGTCCATCAAGGCGCACAT